AAATATGACCCATAGTACAGTATAGTACACTATGAAGAGAGAGAACGCTAACCTTGCTTGAGGCGTGGAGGACAGGAAGGCGGGTGAGGAGGCGGCTATTGCTTGGAGGGAGAGTCCCCCTCCCTACAGGAAGCCATGACCACGTGTCACGGCAGGGAAAATGGCCGCGGATCCTGTTCATCACCTGATACATAGTTCGCGAACGGAAGCAAAATTTTGTGAACGGTGCTGTTTGTGATCCGAATTGGTTGTGAACAGAAGCGTTTGTGACCCGAGGTACCACTGTACATTTAAGCATCAGCCTTTTTTAGATAGTATTAGTATAATGGTTACTTTGCTTGGGGAAAAAACCAACTGAGAGAACAGGTGAGGAAACATCATTCAAACAAAGCAAAACTTGCAATTAATTGTCAGATGTTAAAGATAAAAGGGTCCACTCCTGGTGACTATGTGGACATGTCCATGAGTTTCTTCGCACAATATGAAAGCGATCTGTCTTTTCCTTCTTCTGGGTTCTGGGATTAACATGCTCTATTAGACTGTAGACCAGCTGGAGTTTATCCAAGGCTGCTGAGCCACTGAACAGTCTTCCAAATCTTTTTCCTGTGATTTAGAATGTCCCAATAAATTAATGTACCAACTTTCAAGTTGTTCCCAGTGATTTTGATGGACAATATAGACTTGGTGCACAAATTGTGCCAAGCTAGGATTTGCTTAATCATCGCTTGTTGAAAAAGTTCTAGTGGCCTGGTTCACACATTATGCTAATCCACAAACCATGTTTTACAACCTACAGTGGTTGTGTTCTTACAACTTGATTCATTTGTGTAGTCTGGGCTTAGACAGTTCTATGGGCCCTGATGTTGGGTGGAAAATTGCTCTAAAGGCAAAAGAAAGATTATTAAAGGAAAACAGGAAATCACCCTATTGAGAAACTCAATTGAAATGGCAAATTGTCAAGTCTGGAGCAATTCTTCTTCAGAAATAAGAAGAATATTATTTTAGAGAACAATACATCTCAAGGTTTCCACAATCATGGACCACTAGATAAATATCTAGCAAATGCAGGGGCCATCCAATTAAATAGACACCTGCTCCCTATGTTTTTCTCTTTAAAAGCAGGGAATTTCACATTTTTTAGCAAATGAAAGAAGGGTTATGCTTGCAATTCTGCAGGCCTTGCCATCTTCTCTAGATGGGAGAAGATGGGAAGGCCTTCTCTATTCTTAAAGGCCTTCTCAAACTAAATGTTGCACCAAAACTGTAATCCAAATTTATTAATTATTTATCTTCAGAATTATCTTACATACCCCAAGCTGTAATATTCACACCTCTTAGTACAAACTGGCTGGCCAAGAATGTTCTTCAGTAGAAATCTCTAAGTGCTAAGAGTCTAGGGACAAGTGAATGTGCAGCCCAATGAAATCCTATTTTTAGATATTTATTGTTGTATTTCCTATTCACACTTTTCTTCTGGGGTTGCTTGTGGGAGATCACAGTTACACTTGGCACAGCACAGTTGATAGCTGCACTCAAGGTCTATGCTGCTTTGAGTTATATATATAAAAAGGATAACAATATAATAATAATAGTAGTAGTAATAGTAATAATAATAATAATTTTGTCTTACTTAACAATTGTTGATAAGAAAGACAAAAAAGTCTGGATAGTGGACATTGCAATACCTGGAGACAGCAG